TGTCTGTGTTTCTTTGTCTGAATATGGCACTTATCACATGCTGTGTGGTATCGGGGCATTTTAACGAGTACGAGTACAGGAGCTCAGTATGCATCCCTATTGAGAGTAAATTGTACCTTGTAATTAATTAATCTATAAATATTACCTTCCTGAAATATCATTTTTTCAGCCATTGCCTAATGTCAGTCATTTCTTATGTACATTAGTACATTACTTCCAGTACACAGAGACAACAACAACACACAGATAATAAAAAATAATATGTAAATAAAACACACATATATAAATATAAATAAACCACAAAAAAAAAGAATAAATTGTGTGAACAGGTGTGCTAAATAGAACAGCTATAGAATAAAAAATAAGTTGTGGGGATGTACTAGGATGTAGGGTGATAAATAAGTATAAGGTTATTGCACATATTTTTATTGCACAATGGGAGAACATTTAACTGTTCATGAGGTAGATTGCCTATAGCCTATATATATATATATACACTGCCATTCAAAAGTTTGGGATTAGGGCTGCACGATAAATCGCATGCGATGTTTAACTCGCATCTTATCAGTAAAGCCGGTTCTGTAATCAGCGGTGAATCTCCATCACGTGCGTGCTTTGATTGCCTAGGGAAAGAAACTGCACTTCATCCTGCTTCCACAATATGTTGCACATCAAGTGTCCAAATGTTTAAATCATTGACCATTAAGCAAAGTATAACCAATTCCAGGGTCAAAGTCTGTGCAAAAATAATAATGTCCCATAGTAAAATGACAGTTATTTTGTAAGATAAACTTATAAAAAGGGGCTGGGAAGTGAACTGACAAAGTCTCCTCTATCTCATGTATGTCATATCGCGCCACCTCCTGGCAAATACAGTTATTTGCATTTTTGATGCATTCGAGACAGGATAAGCAAGTGTTTGAGGCTTCAACATTCTTTAATTTTGACATGGGAGGTTTTTGTATGATGCAGTTAGATTTCCTGTCACTGTGGGCACCAGGGCACAGTAGTAAATGGCAGAATCTGTCTCTACAACAGAAGAGATCTTCAGATCCACTTGTTTGTTGTTTTGATTAACTTCAGCCGTAAATCTGGGTGGTCTGTCATCACTCATAACTCCATGTTGGAAGATGTAAAGAAGGAACTCCGGTTTGGATCTGGGATACTGTCTGTACCATTGTAAATTCTGTCATCACCTTCATGCTTCATTTTACTTATTTATTGATTCAAGTGGAGCACACTTTGATTTGTTGAAATGGTTTGAAAAATTGGTTGAAATCTGATGTTGGATCTATGTCTGCTGTTAATGATGTCAGGTTTTTGTACAGTGTTGCAGTGTTTCCATCACTGTGGGCACCAGGGCACAGTAGTACAGTGCAGAATCTTCCATCTCTGTCTGAAAGATGCTGAGATTCATGTGTTTATTACGTTTATCAGCCACAGATGAAAGTCGAAGTGTAGGCTCTGACCGGCCACTGAGCTCAGTAACAAAAATAAGGAACTCTTTTCGAGTTCCTGGATATTGTCGATACCACTGCAAGGTGTTAACACGTCCACTGTAATCACAGGTGAGGGTAACGTTGTCTCCTGCTGTGACGTGCTTCTCTGGGACAAGTGGGTTTATTGTATTTGCGTCAGCATTCTCTGTGTAGAAGAAGAAACAAAGATGCTAAATTATTCCTTTGGGCTAGATATACTGTACATGTTGTTCACACTGAATATATAATTGGATCAAATGTAAAAAAAAAAAAAAAAAAAGGAATAACTGACCTTTGAGCAGAAAAATAACAATTAAAAACAGGAACAACATCTTACTAATAAATAGACAAAAATGACTGTGAGAATCAATGCTGCACATTTCCTCCTAAAACTAACTCAATATAGCAGGAGCTTACTAATGAAAGACATGAATCGAATAGCTCCGCCCTCTAGCAGTGAATTATGGTAAGTGAGCAATAGGTAAAATGATCTTTACTGAAGTATCCTATCTCAGACAGTTCAGAATGAGTCTAAATTAAAAATTAGCATATTCTAAAATATCCATAAAATACTTGACGACAAGGTGTACGATTGACTAGTATACTGAAGTATACATTGCAGCATTGATGCAAGCTCTCTGTTTTTTAGTAACCTTGGGAACAACAAATTACATTAACCAAAGTGAACTAAAACCTGAAACAAACTGACAGTATCTTGCAAATGAAAATGAATCTCTGACTTTTGAGCAGACCTATTATCATCAATACAAGGGCAAAACCTGACATGCAATAACCACAACAACTCAGACAATTACGCTGCATGTAAGACAAAACTCACATAAGGAGATCCACACCGAATTGACAGAAACTCAATGTGCATATATCGCCACCTCCTGGCAAAACATACCTGCTTTGCTATTTCAGTCATTTGGGAAATGCAAACCTTTGACTATATTGAATGTTCTGTATATGTTATGATTTGTTTCAGCAAAATTACAGACTATTGTGGTGATTATGTGCTGGCCTTCGAGACTAGATGAAGTAGGTGTTCGAGGCTTCTTCTTTCTTTAATGATGGCATGGAGGTTTTTGTATGATGCAGTTAGATTTCCTGTCACTGTGGGCACCAGGGCACAGTAGTAAATGGCAGAATCTGTCTCTACAGCAGAGGAGATCTCCAGATCCACTTGTTTGTTGTCTTGATTAACTGCAGCAGTAAATCTGGGTGGTCTGTCTTCACTCATAAGTCCTTGTGGGAAGATGTAAAGGAGGAACTCCGGTTTGGATCTGGGATACTGTCTGTACCATTGTAAATTCTTTATATTACCCGTATAGTCTTTGTAACTGCAGGACAGAGTAACACTGTCACCAACATGTCTATTTTCATTCAGTGACAAGGGTTTTATTGTGTTTGCATCTGTGCGCCCTGGCAATGGAGAGTAAAAGCCTAATTAGATAAAAGCAACAGTAACTGAATGGTAAAAAGTAAATGAGTAAAAAAGAACTGGTTTAGACTGGAAAGAAAAATACAATTATATCTTACCAATACACATGCACCAAAAACTGAGAAGAAGAGTGAAAATAATCATGATAGCAGAAATCTGAAGAATCTGAAAGACTTGAGTGACATTCAGACTGGATGCCTTTGAATTCTGACATCCTCCCTCAGATTAAAATGCTTCTTCATTCTGATATTAAGCTCCACCCAGTGGAAATTTTTTTTTTTGTTTGTGTTTTATAAAGTCATTATTATACTTAAACCAGTTCATGTGACCTGTGATTTAAAGTCTCTGCCAACGTGTATTAAAGAAAAGACATAAGAGGATTGTAATTCTTTGTTAAACTTTATCTGAAACGTGAAAACATGAATTGGTGCAGTTATTTCTCTCTCACATATCTTTTTTTATTGCAAAAGCACAATAATTACAGAACAAACTGAATATTGGAGATCTAGTTGCTAATATTTACATTTTTAATGCCTTTTTTTCTTATTTCATTTTTGTCATATTTGTGATAACTCCCAAGTGGTCATCATTTCTTTTTTCACCAATTTATTGAACTTTTATATTATACTTATATTTATATTATACAAATATTCCAGGTAGCATCACAATTGATTTGAGTTATTGATCCTTAAGAGATGCTTGTGTTACTGATGACTGATGCAGTCAGAAATAATACATACTGTAGAAAACATGTGCTTGTTAAGAATCAGTGAAAAGCACGATAATACAGAAAGATTTTGTGCAGAGGAAAAGGGTTTCCTGTCACTGTGGGCACCAGGGCACAGTAATACTGTGCAGAGTCTGATACTTTAGCAGGGCTGATTTCCAGTTCCATGAGCTTTCTGTGTTTGTCAACTTTAGCTGATAACCAGTGGGCTGATGGATCGGCTTTAACTGGATCTCCAGATTCAGTCATGGAGAGAAGGAGTTCTGGTTTGGATCTTTGATACTGACGATACCACAGTAGATTATACACAGCACCAGTGTAGTTGCAGTAGAGAGTAACACTGTTACCATCTTGAGCTTGTTTTTCAGAACCATGAGACGTTATTAGATCACCAAGAGAGACTCCTGGAAAAAAAGACATACTAAATTTAATATTGTGATCAGATAAATGTAATTCTAACCGTTTTAAATCAGAAGAGGTGGTGATTAAATAAAATAAACAAGTCTCACCTGCAAGTATTGAAAATATTACAAGTGCACAGAGCAGCATGATGGAATGAAATGACTCAAATGTGCCTTTTCTTGACTGAAACACTGTGATTTAAGTCTGGAGCTCCACCCTGTGGCAAGATTTGACCTTCCATTACTAGATTTGAACTCATTGTGTGCATGAGGGATACAGAAAAGAGAAGAACGCCATCTTCTGGGTGAAAACAAATACATTTAGACCTTCATTAATCACAGATGATGACAATAAAATCACAATATTTATATTTTTACCTTCTGATGATGACTTCTGTTAAGAATAGATAGAAGGTTCTTATGCATCTCTCTTAAATCTCTTTTCTAGATTTATACTTTGGCATTAGTTTGTGGAAAATGCAGTAAGATAAAAATGAGAAAACATTGTTTTAATTATTTTTTTAATCAATTTGTTTTAAACAAATTATTGAAGCTTTCTTACTAAAAAGGCAAACAAAAATGTGTTATGCACATGGAAATTACTGTAACACCTCATAATGTTAACACTGTCACGGTGCTTGCGGGGAGATGAAGCGAGGACTCAAGTGCAGGAGAAATGGTTATTTATTTTAATAATGAAAATGAAACGAAAAACAAACTCAAACCACACCGAGGGGGAAAAACAGACGGGCAGGCTCAAAACTGCACTCCATGCAGACATATAACACACACAATGAGAAATGACGGATCAGCACAGGATGACAGACACCAGGAGAATAAATAGGAACCAAACGAGGAGGCTAACGAGGGAGACACAGGTGGAGCAACTTAAACAATAACGAGGTAACAAGATGGGAGGGGCCAGACAATAGACAGTAGAGAACACATGGCAACAGACAAACACAACACAAGCCATGTGCTCCCAGAACACAGTCATCTGGTGGCCCTCCTGGGCACACCCGCTGAAGACTGTGACAAACATAGATTGCATACTTCTTATTAATTTTAAGAAATTGAAATTAAACATGAGTTTTAAGCTTTCCATTTTACTTAAACAATGGGTTCGGATCATTCATTGAGGTGGCAAACTGAAGTATAAAATCAGTAACAGTACAAAATGACAGAATCAGGGTTTTTGTACAGTGTTCCCAGGCTTTCTATCACTGTGGGCCTCAGAGTGCAGTAGTACACAGCAGAGTCTGTCACTTCAGCAGAAGAGATTGTAAGATTCACTTGTTTCTTTGAGTCTTTTGCTGACAGACGAAGAGAAGGTTCAGATGCCTCTGAATTTTCATTTACAGGTATCAGGAACTCTGGTCTAGATCCCCCAGTATTTCGATACCATTGCAGGTCATATACAAGACCACTGTAGTTACAGGACAAAGTCACATTGTCACCTCTTAAAATATGTTTTTCAGAAGACAATGGCTGTATTGTGTCAGCAAAGGAGTATCCTGTAAGACAAAATGTACTGTATTGATTAAACTGATACTAAAGGTAACTTGTTGGCAATGTGATTGTTATGTGTAATGTGCATTGTAATGTGAAATTTAGTAAGTACAAAAAAAAAATATATATATTTTTTTTTAAATAAAAACATAAAATAATAAAACATTATTTACCTATGAATAATGACAGTGGTATCCAACAAAACAGAAACATGATGGTTTCTGATGAAGAGTGATTGTAAAGCTATCAAAGCAGGATGACTAAATGAATCAGCCTTTCAAACATTCAACTTTGTGAATTTGCTCCACCCTCTGGCTGAGGCTTTATCTTCTTCCCTGATGGGCTGTTTTTCTCTCAAAATGAAAAGACTTGACAGTGTTTCATTAGATTTACAGAAAAAAATTAACTGTTGCATCAATAATTTATTGTGCATTATTTGAAGCTGGTGTGTCACAATTTTTGTTTAATGTTAGCTGTGTTAATGTATTATGTTTTTGTACAGAGCAGGTGGGTTTCCTGTCACTGTGGGCACCAGGGCACAGTAGTAAATGGCAGAATCTGTTTCTACAGCAGATGAGATCTTCAGATCCACTTGTTTGTCGTCTTGATTAACTTCAGCCGTAAATCTGGGTGGTCTGTCTTCACTCATAAGTCCTTGTGGGAAGATGTAAAGAAGGAACTCCGGTTTGGATCTGGGATACTGTCTGTACCATTGTAAATTCTTTATATTACCCGTATAGTCTTTGTAACTGCAGGACAGAGTAACACTGTCACCAACATGTCTATTTTCATTCAGTGACAAGGGTTTTATTGTGTCTGCCTCTGTGCGCCCTGGCAATGGATAGTAAAAGCCTAATTAGACAGTAACTTAAAATAGTAGTAAATAAGTAAAAATTAACTGGTCTAGATTGGAGAGAAAAATACAACTTTATCTTACCAATACACATCCACAAAAAACTGAGGAGAGTGAAAATAATCATGACAGCAGAAATCTGAAGAAGAATCTGAAAGACTTGAATATCATTCAGACTGGATGCCTTTGAATTCTGACATCCTCCCTCAGATCAAAATGCTCCAACATCTTGACATTAAGCTCCGCCCTCTGAAAAAAAGAAAAAGTTTTGCTTGTCTTTCTGCAATGCAGTTTTTATACCTTAGTCTTTAAACCAATCAATGTGACTTTGTGGTTCAAAGTCTCTGGTAGAGTATATTAAAGCAAAGGCATAAAAAGGTTTTAATGCTTAAACATTA